TTATCGCTGACCGATGATGCGATTGGCTGACTGGCTGTTCTGGCTTTGCCCTTTGTGGATGCAACTGTGAATTCTGACAGCAGCTAAGAGCGAAGCTCTCCGTTCCTGCATTCCTGTCTTGGATGATACCGTCTCCGTGTCAATGACCAGCGCACGCAGCGTAAAGTCAGGCGACGTCCAACGTGGCGTAAAAACGTAGCTTGGCATCGAACAAGGTCGCTTGATTATAAGTTCAATTTCGCACTTTGCTTCAGTTGTTCTGCCCTCGACTCGTCCTTCAGTGCATGCACACTGGGATTTCACAATGACTGCCTGAATTTCGCTTTTGTTCAACGCACTTTTCTCGTTGTTGGCAGCCAAATCATCTGCCATATGGGATCTGCTGCTTTTTGTTTGGCAAAGTGCAAACATTATTTATCCATTGCAGTAAACAATGGTTTTCCATCTGTAAACGAGGTTGACAATTCAAGATCGTTTGTTTTCTTTCCGGAAAGCGTTTCAGTTCTTGTGGTTAAGTACGTGACGTACCCAAATTCAGTATACGCTGCTTAGGGACCGGTAAATTTTGGCGATGGTTAGGGTGGTGAGGGATGGTCCACGATAAACTTCCAATTTGCTCTCAGCAAATAATGATGTTAGCATTGCAGCAAGAGGAAAACCAATTGCCGGTTATAAATAACTGGAAAATCACAGGTTTCAGGGGACAAAAACAGAAAATATGAACCAAAAATCCACTTCAAAAATGCCTTATCAAAAATTTAAACCAGAAATAGGGAAGTGGTGAATTTTATTAAAAAATACACAAGAAATACATTAAATTGCAGTGGCATATTAAAAAATGAAACATATCGTCCGTCGCTCAAGTGATGATAACACAAATGGATTAGTTGCAACAATACTGCAACGCTGGATTTGCTGGTTTTGACTACTTTAAGAGACTTTCACAAAGTCTATGAAAATATTTTGTTCCACGTTTAGGCATGATCAGTCAAGCACCAGTCCTGTTCTTCTGTCTCTCTTGCACAAGTGTAGCACGAGTCATTCATATTAGAAAGTACGACAGGAAGTCAAGTAATTTTTACCGTCCTTCTCCTATGAGGCTTAATACTAACGGTGTTGTCCAATCCTCCCCTCCCGTCTTTGTTTGTGATCACGGTATCCTTCTCATAAACCAGGCACAGTAATCCCTATTATCCCGCTTTTCACTGTCACAATAGCTCATGAACGCTGTCCACTCTCTGGGACTGGATCGGCATTTACACATCGGCAATACATAACTGAAAGTAGATCATTAGACCAAAGCCGCCAAAAATATAAGATTCTATCATCCGATTGGCTGAGTTTTGGCATTGTGTAAATTAAGCGGCTTTTTATGCGTTGCAGCGATACACTGCTGATTACAGGTTTATTTCACTTAAACTCCGCTGATAGTGGCTGCAAAGATATTTTGCTAAATTTTTACATTTTTTGAAATCATTTCTTAGAGCCGCTTGCAAAGCAGACTGGCACTGGTTTGTAATGTCCGTCGTATTCTCAGGTGTCCTACATAAGGCATAGTGGGAGGAATAGTCCTGAGTGCAAATTTCCTTCTAACTCATTGTTTAATGCTGCCTGCAGCTCCTGATGGATGTCTGTTGTACTTCGATTAAGGAGTTCACGAACTGGAGCAAATGCTTTACGCTGAAAGTTTGATAAACACAGCCTACTTTATCTTTTTAATCCATACATTATTTAAAGACGCCTGTCCCTAAAGAAAATAGTCGTTTATTACGTGGTCCTTTAATTTTATTTTCACTGTCTACGAAACCTAAAGCTGGTGTATGACATTCAACATTCATTCTCGTTCGGCCTTAAAAAATAGCTGTCTCAAGGCATGACCTCAGAGAGGTAAGGAGCATGCGAATTTTTGTAGGAAAAATCATCCTTTCCTGGTACAGCAATTGGGCAAGTTACTGCAGCCATTAAAGGCACGGGCAACCCTTCCAATTAAACTTGATTGGGTGGCGTCATCGCTGGAGGTGATGAAACGGAGAGGCCTTAAAGTACTGAACCTCATTTTCCGTTTGACTTGGATGTCTTAACTTCGACAACTTCTGCCACCATAGTAACCTGTCACTATATTGGTATGGAGATGAAATTCTATTCTAATAGGGCGAGTCTGGAAGTTGACAATGTGCTGAAATTTTTGAATATTGAATATTCTGCTAACTTCATTCAGTAAATATCCCTGAATGATAAAGAATGAGGAACATACACAACGTAGCTTCGCAAATCACATATTGTGTTGCATTTTAATATGGACAGTGTCCTACAGATAGAAAGAGAAAATGATGTTGAAGAAACAGATTGCCATCGGTGAATGAATGCCTTCGGAAAATTAATGATTAACTTCCTGATTTGCGGTTCCATTTTGCAAGTAGTTAGGACGATGCCAACTTCATTTATTAACCAATAAGTTTTCACAAGCCGTTGTAATTAGGCAAAATACAAATGAATGACGCTCGCACGCAGTCGTTTTCACATTTTTCATAAAACAAAATCTGAATCCTCACACAGACTCGCAACAACTTACTGTAATATTAGATTTGAAAGTGAGTGAACTCTGCTTGTTACCACTTTAGAAAATAAAGTTTGCTAAGTTTTATCATTTCGATTAGATTAAAATCTTGGGGTTTTCTTTCCCGCTACCGGGAAAACTTCCATTATCACTTAACGTAGCGCAACAGGATTAAATAATTGAAAGAACATGAAATTCGAATTCCCAACAACCAGAAAATGATACTACAGCTAGTAAAGTGAGTCAGTAGTTCAACCAAATTTATCTGCTCTTTCTTTCTCGCTACTCAAATCAGGACTTGAATAAGATGAAAGGCACTATACAGTTTCAAGGGCGACATCGATGTAGTTCTTAATTGGAAGGTTAGGTTTTCTTGATGTTCACAGTGGCCAATGTCCTATGAAATGATTCTCGGATCAGCGTGGGTCTTATTATAATTTTCTTATAGCATCATACGATGTTGCGAGGCATGACATAGAGTTACAATCGGGTTGTCCCTATTGGAGATCTAGTAATAGTTGACACGCTCGAACTAATTAATAATAATTTCTTAAACTTCAACTATAGATGGCAG